TCGACCATAGTCCTCTTTTCTACCTTGGATGGTGGTTGCTCACATATGATCTCCTTAATGTTCTCATCATCATCATCATCATCCTTATAAAAAGATGTATCATTAAGAGCAAAAGAATAGAAATATTAGCATCAATTGAAGAATTTAAAGAGGGATTCTTAGCCTTCCCTTTCTTTCTCTTCTTGTAGTCTTTCTCCCAACTCTTTGCCACTCGTAAAGGTGATAGCATTAAGATTAGCTTTAGGATCAGCAATGGTGTTGGATGGTAATGTAGAGGCTTGAGCATTAGGTGTGCTTAATTTGTTTGCAAGCATATTCATTTGAGAAGTAAGGGCATCAATTTTAGAGTTCATGTTCTCACACTTATTACCCATACTCTCTATCGTGTTCCCTAAGCCATCATACATGTTTTTATACAAGGAATTCATTTCAATCAATTGCTTATATAACACATTCTCTTCATTCGAAGAGTTAGAGTTAGAAGAACTCTTAATTAGAACAAGCCTCCTATCACCACAAGAATTTGAAGGAGGTGCAAGAGAATTACCACTTGGATTGTAGCTTTGAGAAGAGCTACCTTGAGATAAATGAGGTGGAGGGTCATGGCCAAAGGTCTTTTGATAGGATCCTCTTTGTTGATTGTCTTGTAAAGCCACATTTGGGTTTGAATAGGAGAAATTAGGATGGTCTCTCCATAAAGGGTTGTAGATATCAGAATAAGCTCCTTGCCCTTGCCTCCCACCATAAGATTGCTTCCCATTGTAGATAGCATTCACTTGCTCAAACTTAATAGGACAATTGGGTGAGTCACAAAAAGTACAAGAATAAGGGACCAATGCTTGAGAAGTACTTACATTGCTTACTTGAGATATTTAGGAAGCCAACATTTTCCCAATCTTGGTGGCTAGTAGATCCACATGTGAATCATTAAGAATTGAGGAACCAACTATATTCACATTTCTCTTCTCTCTTATAGAGTATTAAGCACTGCTTGAGGCTATCTTGTCAATTAGTTCCCAAGCGTTTAAGGAAGTGAGGTCAATCAAGCATCCACCACTAACGACATCAATGTTAACTCTATCTCTTGGAATCAAGCCCTCATAGAAATATTGGACTAAATTCTCACTCGAAATTTGATGATGTGGACATTTAGCCAAAAAATGTTTGGAATCTAGTCCAATACTCATAGAGACTCTCATCCTCTCTTTGTTAGACCCCATAGATTTGCTTCCTCAAATTGGTGGCCTTAGAATTTGGAAAGAATTTATCCAAGAAGAGTCTTCTTAGCTCAGCCTAGCCCATGTGCTCACATTTACATGAGAAGGGTAGTTTAAATACCACTCCTTTACTAAACCTTCAAGAGAAAATGCAAAAGCCTTAGCTTGAACATCATCAATATTTACATGCACAGGCTTCATACTATCACAAGCCAACAAGAGAATATGAAAAAAAACCTTAGGCAATCCTCTCCAGGTAACCTATGAAATTTAGGCAATTCATTAATTAAAGAGGGTTTAATTTCAAATTGAACATTAATAGGAAGGACATACAAGCCATAAGGATTATCATGCCAATTGGGTTAAGTTATTTGCCTAATGCGCCTCTCCTTTCTAGGATTATACAAGCCCTCAAATTCATTATTAACATGGCCATTATCATGCAAATTCTCATTCCCATTCCCATGGTCTTCATCATGCACATGTCCATGCCTTAAGATACCTTCCATAGTTGAATTACAAACTAAATGAGAATAAAAATAAGTTGCGATCTTCTCAATCAAGAAATAGTCCATTCAATTTCTAGATCTAATTCAACAAGAGAGGTATGTCTTCTTTAGGTCATGCACTAATCAACCTCAGGAAATTTAAGAACAAAGAACAAGCTAAGTTAAAATGCAAATCAAGAAGAGAAAATTCAAAACCCACAAAAGCAAGAGAATTCTTTTTTTCCTTTTCTACTAAACTCAACAACAACAAAATGAAAAAACACAATAAAAAACAACACCAAACAAGTAGAAAGAGAGTTAGAAATGCTCAACCAAGAAGCTTTGGCAATTCTGGAATTCACACGATAGGCTCTCTAGAGGTAGTAAACTTATAAATTTTCTAGCAACCAATCCACATGAGCAATTCCCCTAAAACTTTTATGAGAGAGACAAAAGATATATAGGAAAATTATATAAATCGTTCAGATTAAATCTCCTTTCCAATCATTCCCATAATGTTTCACAAATTGATCCACAGTTTTGGAGAAATAGGATTTCATCCAGATGACCTTTAAAGATTCTAACAAACTTTAAAATAAGAAAATGACAAAATTGAAGAACATGCTAAACAAAAGAAACAAAGCTAAGATAATAACAAGAAAAGTAAGACTAGAATCAATCAATTTGGACACCCAGAGAGGGAGATATGCTAACTCAAAATTGCAATAGGGTTTTGGGAATTCTCTATAAAGGCTCCCTGGACCTTGTTAGTTTGTAAAATTTCCACAGGATACTTTTCACATCTAAAATTAACCAAAATAATTTCAAAATGAAGCTAAGATATAGAAATTTCAAATAAAATAAATGTCAAGTCAAAATTCCCTAGACTGGTTTCCAATTGATTTTTAAATTTCAGACATAAACACTAGAAACAAAGTACTTTCAGCTCTCCACCAAATCAATGAAAATTGCACTAATTTTATTTTTGCTTTTCCAAAATAGAACAAAAACACTCAAAACACACAAAAGAACTAAACAAAACACAAAACACAAATTTTTATAATTTGTCAAAAGTTTTCCAAAAACACAAAATAAATAAATTAAGCACTAAACAACCTTAGAATTAAACCTAAACACATTCCTCCTCGGCAATGCCAAACTTTTGATAGGGATTAGTCACTTGCCTTCAAAATTAAACTAACGCTAACACTGATACAATATAGGGCCAACCCTTAGTCATTTCCCAAGGAATGATTTTAAGTCTAATTTAAAGCTATCTAGTGAAATAAATCACCTAAAGTTTGAAGTTAATTAACTAAGTGCTAACCTAATTATCTAGTAAATTAAACTAGAAAACTAATTCTAATTGTGAATGAAGTGGCTTCCCTATTTAAGTAAGAACCTTAGGGTGTTGCTAATGAAAAACAATTTTACTTTAGACAACTATCTCAAATACCTTAGCTTCACTATTTCAATTCTCTAAGTACTATTATAAGCCCCTTAAGTAACCTTATTAGCTTAGCTCTAAAATTAACCATGTGTTTAGTTAAAATTCATTTCCAAATGGCACTGCCCAAAGCTGTACCTACGCTCAAAACTATGAAAACTCAAGTACCTCATCAAGTATTCACCAAATAATTACATGTTAGGCTAATGCAAGACATTCTCTAAGTGAAATCACATATTACCATGTAAAAACACTAAGAGGCCGAAATCTAGCAGTATAAAGAGCATGAAATTCAACTAAATAATCTTATTTCAATATTACAAATTACAAACAACTATGAAACTAAAGTTAAATTGAACCATAATCAATAATAGTCATAGTATTCTAATACAATTGAAACAAGATGAAGATATAGTTAGGCTTAGCTAACTGAAAACTTCAAGACTCCTCTTCAATCAACTCTCCCCTAGGATTCCATGAAGATTCTTGTAACCTCCTCCTCTATCCTCCAGATATAAGAGAAGAGTACTATGTTATCACATCAAAACCATCAATTAGCAATTAAATGTTTTATTTGAAAAGCTTTTGTGATAGGGACGCGGAAGCAGAATCGTGCTAGTTTAGGGACAGAACCCTGAAACAACAAAAACACAAGAACAAAAAAAGAAAGGGACGAAATTTATGACGGAAATAAAGAAAGGTATGAAGTAAACAATAGGATAATGATCAAGGAGAAGATCCTCTAGAGCACCTGCCTCTAGGAACCTCAACCTTCGAAGACACCACAAGAGTTGATCACGCTCTTGATCACGTCGGTTTCTCACACGGGATACCACCACAAAGCACTAAGGCTCACAAGAGTTATAAACTCTAAAATGAATAATTTCATTCAACTTCTGTGTTGTTTACAATAGGGAGCATGCCTAATTTATATAGGCTTATAGAAAAATATTTCCTAAAATTAAAACCCTAATTTCCTAATACTAAAAGGAGAAATAATGATAAAATATTTAGCCACATAATTTAGGAGATGTGATCCTAAAATTATGGGATTACAAAATTTAGAAATTAATATTATAATTAATTCTAACCTTTGACTAGACTCAAAATAGAAAATCAAATCAAAGGACCATTAAAATAGGAAATAATTTAGGAGACAATCAAGGGATCATAAAGGATTTGAAATCACGCCACCTTGACTTCTTTACTAGGGTTTCATGTCTCCTTGCATGCAAGAGGCTCAACTTGTAGTCTTCCTTGCATTGGGCTAAGGTCTGCATCTCTTGGGCTTGACTCTTCATGAGTTTGGATCTTAAATACATTATACACATATAGATGCTCTCCTTTGGACTTGAGGGGAGTGCCCCAATGCTCTCCAAGCTCTTGAACTTCTTGCACAAGACTGAACAAGGCTTGCTTCATAGCTTTGGTTCGGGCTCTTGTCATTGGACCTCCAATATGTTGCAATGGGTCTTTAGGTACGTTGGATTGGAAGTATTGGGCTCCTTCTATGTCACCATGCTCATGATTACCATCCTCAGGCTTCGTTGCCATTAATGTTATGTCACCTGTGCCATGGGGCCCATCATTCCCTCCCAGTTGGAAAGGATTCGTCCTCGAATCTGCAGAATCATATAAAGATAAATCAGAAACATTAAATGTGGCACTAACATTGCCATAAGAGCTAGGCAAATCAATCTTGTAAGCATTATCATTAATTCTTTCCAAAACTTGAAAAGGTCCATCTCCTCGAGCTTGAAGTTTGGACTTCCTTTGATTAGGAAATCTCTCTTTCCTTAAATGTAACCAAACCCAATCTCCAGGCTCAAAGATCACACGTCTCCTGCCTTTATTAGCTTGCTTGGCATATTGCTCATTCTTTCGCTCTATATTTGCTTTAACCTTAGCATGTAAGTCCTGCACAAACTTAGCTTTTTCCTTGCCATCAGTGTTAGCATGCTCAGAGAAAGGCAAAGGTAAAATATCAATAGGAGATAATGGATTGAAACCATAAACAATTTCAAATGGAGAATAAGAAGTAGAAGAATGAACAGCCCTGTTGTAAGCAAATTCAATATGAGGTAAACAATTCACCCAATTCTTCAAATTCTTCTGAATTATTGCTCTTAATAATGTAGTCATAGTTCTGTTAACTACCTCAGTTTGACCATCAGTTTGTGGATGGGCAGTAGTGGAAAAAAGTAACTTAGTCCCTAATTTATGCCATAGGGTACGCCAGAAATGACTAAGAAACTTCACATCTCTGTCACTCACAATAGTCTTAGGTAAACCATGCAAACGAACAATCTCTTTAAAGAATAAGTCAGCAATGTTAACAGCATCATTAGTCTTAGCACAAGCAATAAAGTGTGCCATCTTAGAGAACCTATCAACAACAACAAATATGGAATCTTTGCCTGCAGAAGATTTAGGCAATCCAATTACAAAATCCATAGAGATATGTTCCCAAGGGTGAGAGGGGACGGGTAAAGGAGAGTAAAGTCCATGAGGTTGGATCTTAGATTTTGCCTGTCTACATTTAATGCATTTATCACAAACAGATATGACATCTTTCCGCATGTGAGGCCAAAAGAAATGATCAGACAAAATAGCCAAAGTTTTATCTACACCAAAGTGTCCCATCAAACCACCACTATGTGCTTCCTTAGTAAGCAACTCACGCATAGAACAAATAGGAATGCATAATTTATTTTTCTTAAAAAGAAATCCATCAAATTTAAAGAAATCACCAGATCCATGATTTTCACAAGATTTCCAAATATTTTCAAAATCAGGATCAGTTTTATAAAGATCTTTTAGAATCTCAAAACCAAGTAATTGAGCATGCAAATAGGAAAGTAATGTATACCTTCGAGATAAGGCATCAGCAACGATATTTTCTTTACCTTGCTTATGCTTAATCACATAAGGAAAGGTTTCAATAAATTCCATCCAGCGAGCATGTCTCTTGTTTAACTTACCTTGAGACTTGAGAAACTTTAAACTTTCATGATCAGAATGAATGATGAATTCCTTGGGCCACAAATAATGTTGCCATGTTTCTAAGGCCCTCTTTAGAGCATAAAGCTCTTTGTCATAGGTGGAATAATTCAAAGCTGCGCCGTGAAGCTTTTCACTGAAGTAAGCTATGGGCTTAGAATCCTGCATTAAAACAGCACCTATACCAATACCAGAAGCATCACATTGAATTTCAAATGCTTTAGAGAAATTAGGCAAAACAAGTAAAGGGGCATTAGTCAATTTATCCTTTAGGGTTTGGAAGGCCCTTTCTTGTGTTTTATCCCATTTAAAGGTCGCATTCTTCTTAACAAGTTCATTAAGAGGGGCAGCAATGCTAGAGAAATCCCTAACAAATCTCCTATAGAAGCTTGCTAAGCCATGGAAGCTTCTCACTTCACTTGCATTCTTAGGGGTTGGCCATTCACGAATAGCCTTAACTTTCTCCTCATCTACACGAATTCCCTGTGATCCAACAACAAATCCCAAAAAGATAACAGAGTCCATGCAAAAGAAACACTTTTGAAAATTAGCATATAATTTATATTCCCTCAAGATGTCAAACACATTTTTAAGATGATTCATATGATCAGTCAAAGATTTACTATAAATCAAAATATCATCAAAGTAAACCACAACAAACTTGCCTATAAACTTTCTAAAAACATGATTCATTAATGCCATAAAAGTGCTAGGAGCATTAGTCAAACCAAAAGGCATAACTAACCATTCGTATAATCCAAATTTAGTTTTAAAGGCAGTTTTCCATTCATCACCCTCTTTCATACGAATTTGATGATAACCACTTCTAAGATCAATTTTAGAAAAGATAGAAGCACCATGTAATTCATCAAGCATATCATCAAGTCTAGGGATAGGGTAACGATACTTTACAGTGATTTTGTTGATTGCTTACAATCAACACACATCCTCCAAGATCCATCTTTTTTTGGCACCAAGATAACAGGGACAGCACAAGGGCTAAGGCTCTCACGCACAAAGCCTTTCATCATCAATTCCTCTACTTGGCGCTGGATCTCCTTAGTCTCTTCAGGGTTAGCCCTATAAGCAGGCTTGTTTGGAATAGCAGCTCCAGGCAAGAAATCTATCCTATGCTCAATTCCTCTTAAGGGAGGAAGTCCATCAGGAATTTCATCAGGGAATAGATCTCTATAATCCTGCAACAAAGAGACAACACTAGAAGGCAAAGTGGGGTCAAAAGTATTAGTAGAAAAATAAATATTCTTGGGAATTACAATAAGAGCTTGCTCACTCATCAAAGCCTCTTGAATCTTACTTTTCCCACACAATAATATTTTTTTTTCACTATTTTCCTTCACTCCCACCATTCTATTTTTTTCTTTTCTCACCTTCTCACCACTCTTTTTCCTCTCTTTTGATTGATTTTCAAGTAAAGTAATACTCTCTTTCTTTTCTCTCTCACTCATGCCACAATCAAGGAGATCTCTCCTTTGCTTGTAATCTTGAGTAATCTTTAGTTGATCTTCATAGGCTTGGATGGGTCTAAGAGGATTTAATACAACAGTCTTGCCTTTAAAAGGCACCTTGTAACAATTTCTAAAACCATCATGAGTAGCCTTACTATCAAACTGCCAAGGCCTACCTAATAACAAGTGTCCAGCAAGCATAGGGGCTACATCACATAATACATCACAAGTATAAACTCCAACAGAGAAAGTAATCAACACTTGCTTAGAAACCCTAATTTCAGCAGAATCATTCAACCATTGCAATTTGTAGGGCTTAGGGTGTGGAATTAAAGGTAAAGATAATTTATCTACAAGTAAAGTGCTAGCGACGTTAGTGCAACTACCACCATCAATTACCATGCTACACACTTTCTCTTTGATGAAGCATCTAGTGTGAAAAATATGCTCGCGTTGCTCATGTTCATCATCCTCCTTTGGTTGAATATTGAGAGCTCTTCTTGCCACCAAGATAGAGTCAACTACACCATTGCATTCAAGCTCATCATTTGATTCATGGGAGGTAGAATCATCATCAACATTATCAGCATCATCTTTATCACTTTCATGCACACTATCATAGCCACCATCATCTCTCAAGATCATAACCCTTTTATTGCTACAATCTCTCGCCATGTGGCCCACACCATGACATTTGAAACACTTAATAGGAGAAGTGTTAGATGAATAAGAAGAAGGTTTAGGGTTAGAAGTTTTACCCTCATACTTGGTCTTTATTTCTTCCTTGGCCTGGGATGTATCTTTGGCTTTGGAATCCTTCCATTTAGGAGTTGTCTTGGAGTCTTTCCAAGAGGACTTGGAACGTTTGTTCTTATTTCTCTGCTCCAACTTTATAGCCTTGTGTATGAGCTCTTCCTTGTCCACAAAAGTGTACAAGTCAAGCTTATCTCTCAACTCTGGCCTCAAGCCATCCATAATTCTTGACATTGCTTCACGTTCATTTTCTTGAATGTTTGCACGAAACTTCAAGATATTCAACTCGTGCACATACTCCTCCACTGTCATAGATCCTTGAGAAAACATTCTCAATTTTCTATTCAGCTCTGTATAGTAGTAGCTGGGGACATAAGCCTTTCTCAAGTACCTTTTAAGCTTCTCCCACGTTTTAATGGGCTTTTTTCCAAGTTGGCTTCTTTTGTACTGTAAATCTTGCCACCAATAAACAGCATAGTCAGTGAAATTCAAAGAAGCAGTTTTTACCTTCCTTGACTCAGACAAATCAAGAGTCATGAAGATTTGGTCCATCTTCATTTCCCAATCAAGGTATTTTTCTGGATTGTTGCTTCCCTTGAATGAAGGATACTTTACTTTTTGGTCCGGTAAGTCAACACCACGCTTTAAGGATTTCTTTCCCTTAGGAGAAGGGGGTTCTTCATACTCCTCATCATCGCTGGGGATCTTATGCTTCTTTCCTTTAGAAGAGGAAGTCTCCGGCTCATCTTTATCCTCTTTATGGAACCTATGATCAAGTTCCAAGCGAAACTGCTGCAACTGTGTTTTGATAAGTTCTAAAACAGAGTTCATATCAATACTAGGGGATTCATCCTTGTTACTCATGTTCACAGAAGCACTAGAAACCATATAAGATAAAAATAGGTCCTCACACACACAAACTCACGTGTTTACTCTCAAGATAAAGTCACTCGTGATTCACAAAAAAAAAAGTAATGGATTTTTTTTTAATAATGAAAAACACACTTGCCTTTTACCACTCACTAAGCTTGTGGATAGAATCCAATGGTGAAACCCACAAATCAAGAAACTAAGGAACAATCAAGTGAATATCTTCTAAATTAAGGAAACTAGAAAACAAGCACAAGGTGAAAAGAGGATTTTTTTTTTTTGCAATTTTGAAACAAATAGGAAAGCAAAATTTTCAAATAAAATTAAGCTTGTTAAAGGAAAAACCACACGTGACAACAAAAAATAAGAAAGAAAGAAATAAAAGTCAAAGAGTCAAATACTCAAAGACAAAAATAAAAAAAAACTAAATAAAATAAGAGAGTAGCACAAATAGCAAATAAGAGAGTAGAGAATTTGAAAAGTGCTACCAAAAAATAAAAATAAGAAAGTGATCAACGTAAAAGACTTTCTTATCACCCAAGTTGACTTTTCTCTTTAAGCAACCTCTTGGTGACTTGGAGTTCAAAATAGCCTTTTTCTACAGTCATAACTCACAGCAATATATTTTTTTGTAATTTTTTTTTAATTTTCGGATTTTTTTTCTCTTTTTTTTCTCAACACACTAACACTTTTTTTTTTGCCTTTTTTTTGCACGAATTTCTAGGTATTTTTTTCTTTTTTTTTTTTTTGAGAAGGCTAATAAAATGAAAACTCACATAAGATAAAAAGTCACAAAGATGAAGAAGAGAAAAACCAAAAGATAGAAGTAGATGGGGTAGATAAGAGATGATCACAAAAAGAAATAACTCAAGATGAAAAAGAAGAAGGAAGGACAAGAATTTAAACCAAAACTAGCAACCAAGGCTCTGATGCCAATCTGATAGGGACGCGGAAGCAGAATCGTGCTAGTTTAGGGACAGAACCCTGAAACAACAAAAACACAAGAACAAAAAAAAAGAAAGGGACGAAATTTATGACGGAAATAAAGAAAGGTATGAAGTAAACAATAGGATAATGATCAAGGAGAAGATCCTCTAGAGCACCTGCCTCTAGGAACCTCAACCTTCGAAGACACCACAAGAGTTGATCACGCTCTTGATCACGTCGGTTTCTCACACGGGATACCACCACAAAGCACTAAGGCTCACAAGAGTTATAAACTCTAAAATGAATAATTTCATTCAACTTCTGTGTTGTTTACAATAGGGAGCATGCCTAATTTATATAGGCTTATAGAAAAATATTTCCTAAAATTAAAACCCTAATTTCCTAATACTAAAAGGAGAAATAATGATAAAATATTTAGCCACATAATTTAGGAGATGTGATCCTAAAATTATGGGATTACAAAATTTAGAAATTAATATTATAATTAATTCTAACCTTTGACTAGACTCAAAATAGAAAATCAAATCAAAGGACCATTAAAATAGGAAATAATTTAGGAGACAATCAAGGGATCATAAAGGATTTGAAATCACGCCACTCTTGACTTCTTTACTAGGGTTTCATGTCTCCTTGCATGCAAGAGGCTCAACTTGTAGTCTTCCTTGCATTGGGCTAAGGTCTGCATCTCTTGGGCTTGACTCTTCATGAGTTTGGATCTTAAATACATTATACACATATAGATGCTCTCCTTTGGACTTGAGGGGAGTGCCCCAATGCTCTCCAAGCTCTTGAACTTCTTGCACAAGACTGAACAAGGCTTGCTTCATAGCTTTGGTTCGGGCTCTTGTCATTGGACCTCCAATATGTTGCAATGGGTCTTTAGGTACGTTGGATTGGAAGTATTAGGCTCCTTCTATGTCACCATGCTCATGATTACCATCCTCAGGCTTCGTTGCCATTAATGTTATGTCACCTGTGCCATGGGGCCCATCATTTTGTCAAAGACTTGTTTCACAAACTTAACAAATAATATAACAGAGAATACACAGCGAAATCAATTCACATATTACTCTAATATGTAATGGACACATCCCATTTCTATTGCATGCATTTCCATCTCAAAATAAAGTTGGGATTTGGTTCATGTACCACGGCGTGCACTACATGTGCCGCAGTATATGGCATAAAGCCACACGCATAGCTTGTTCTATGTCATACACTGCGGCATGTGTCACCATGGGCCATGACGTGCTTGTCTGATTTTTTATTGTCATTTTAAGAGCAAAAATGACTAACTTCCATCTTATATAATTTTCACATGCGACATCCAATTAGAGTGATTCAAGCACCTACATGTAGCATAACTTATAAGTTAACTAATGAGACAAGTTTGGACATAATCTAATAGTCTAATCAAAATTTGGACACTCGGGTGCAAATGGTTACTTTTTCTAAAAAAATTGCATACCTAAGCACTCAAATTGATCACTTTCTCTCATTAGACTATACAAGACCTTGAATCAAGTCTAAAAGGACTTAACACACCTAATTGACCATAATTTATCTCAATCGTGCACAAATAATGAAATTTGACTCTTCTATAGCCAATTTTTACTTTTTAAAATTTTGCACACTTTTCCATTTCTTGGCACAACATAGGCCACTTAGCCTTGTTCTCATCATAAACACATATACCAATATTCACAACACAATCTTAGCCCCAAATTACTCATTTTATCATAATTTCTCACTTAGACTTAAGATTTACAAGCACAATAACCATTTCAACACAAATACTCAAATCATAGCCCCTTATTTCAATTCAACATATATACATATAATCGAGCTAGATTTCACAAGATTTCTATTCAAATCATGCATGCAACCTTATGGCAACTCATTTACACATAAGGACAATAATTCTTAGTTCATTACACAAACTCCAAAGTCACACGGCTTCACATCTCAAGCCGACCTAGACTCTCTTTCCTTACCCTGATCACTTTCTAGTCCTAAAACCATGCAACCACAGGGGTAAGACAAAAATCTTAGTAATAGAATAACTCACTCCTATTGACTATCACATGCAACAATATGAAAGTAAAGCGTAGTATATCATTTAAATCTCATTAAAATAATATTTATATCACATATCTCATTTTCATTCCTTTTTTACAAAACACATATCCATTTCCTTTTTATCGCTTTCACATATGATTCCATATCATCTCATAACATATCACAGCATCATATAGCATGCTAGCATGATCAAAATGAATCGAAACTTCAAATCACCCTGAGATGAAATCATAGGCTTGCCTTAGACTAATGTACACTCTTATTGGCCTTGAGCTCACTTACAGTGGTAGAATAACTGGCCAAAGATGTTCTAACGCACATACGGATTATGGTTTCCCTCAATACACACAACAGAACGCCATTGACTCCAACACCATATCAGAAGGATGTTAAGGAGTCTCTCATCTCCAACACCGTACCTCAATAGGCACTAAGGAGATCTTCTCTAACATTGCACCTTACAAGGCACTAAAGAGAATTGTTTCCAACACTGCACCCTATCGAGTACTAAGGAAACCTTGCCATATGGTTTTTATCATCTCCTCCACTCGAGTGAACTACTACCCCTATAATCATGCTTTCTAAAGCATTTAAGGTTCTCATTTACCATTTTACTCATTTTCTCAAACATAACTTGCATATATAATACATTCCATTTGAAATTACACATTTTAATACTTTATTTCAATCAAAAGCCATTTCACACAACAATCACACAATGCTATAAAACATGCTCAGTTTAAAGCCATTTTATGCACTACATAGCATACTCATACATACTTACAATAACCAGTCAAACAAAGGAAGTTATTTAGTTACCCCAACCCTTCTATTACTAAAAAGGTTACTCATGGATTTTAACTACTACAACAGCTTATCTCAAGCTTCCTTTCCCAACTCACATATCCAATTTGCCAATCTGAACACATTTGGCACAATTTAGTCATTTGGTCTATTTTGACCAAAAACTCATTTCTACTACTTAAGGCTATATTCATCTAAAACTCTTTTCCATTTATTCTTTCTAGGTCCAGTACTATCCAATTACTATTTTATATCACCTCAACCGATCTTATTTCATAAAAATTAGATTTTACTATAAAACTCTCCCTCTCTAAGGTTAAATTGACCCTACGGGTTTAAAGCTCTACTATTTAGCTTTTAACCAGTCACAAAGCTCTAATTTAATTTTTGAGAACCTTTTTATTAGTATTAGGCAAGAATCAACCCCCTTAAATTTCACCGACTCAATTTCCCTATGACTCATTTTCAGAGAAATTTGTGTAGAATGGATGGTAAGAGTTATACATAGCTTACTTGACAAGTTATCGATCAGAAGCACCTTTACCACTCTGAAATGGCTTGCCCTAGCATACCCTTCACTTTCTCTCCTCTCCTCTCATATGTTTCAAATTTTACCTCTCCAAAATTTTTAAAATTTCATGATTTAAGAAGTGATTTTCTAGTCCATACGCTACGGTGCATGCAGCACAAGCCGCGGCACGTGGCATAGTGAGATTTATTCTCATTACGTGCACTTGTTTCAACTCAAAACACACTCCTTCTACCCATATTTATTCATACACATACCAACAAGTCAAATCACTAAGTAATCATCT